TCACTGGGTGTTGATCATGTGCAAGCACTGCTCAAGTTCACAAGTGCCACCTGAGGCTGGCCCTAGTATCACTGTACAAAGGGAGTCTTAGAGAGGTTGGGAAGGCAGAGCTGGGATTGCCCAGGGAGTCTGGCTCTAGGGCTCACCATCTGAACCCTCTACTGCCACGTACTATCCAGTGGGGAGGGTGGTTCTGAGGGCTAGATGAACTAAGTGTTCAGAGTCCAGTACACAGCCAGTGTGATAGTGTGCAGCACAAGTTGGTGTCTGTTTTCTTCCCGATCTGAGATCTCACACATGCTCCTGCTGGTTGGGGTGCTGAAGGATATGGACTGAGCACAGCTGGACTGTGGGATGATGGAGCTGGGGGCAGGTGAGGCAGACACATGGTCTCGAAAAGGGGGCCTCGTTCAACTGATAATGCATGCCGGATGCAGACAGAAAAATCTGGGAACAATATTCAGAATGAGGGATGGGGTGAGCTAGAGTGCCAAAGATTGCTTACTAGATGGAAATTTACAAGATCACTAGGCATGGTGTTTGTTGTTTTTTTTCCCTGAGATTTACAAAATGACAGGGTCCTCCTTAGCTCAGGAAATAACTTTCCTAGAACATAGGAAAATGGCTGGCGATGGCTTTGCGATGCTCCGACGTTTACTGAGCTTATTATGTGGCAGGAACGCATCACAGGATTTCAAACTTGTGGCATGTTGAAGAAGAGTTAACCACGATTTGGGGATTGCTGGGTAGATGTTGGTGCCTTTCGTGATCAACAGTGGTTTTGTTTTCAACAAAATATTCTATAGTGATTTGGCAGACAGTCATGTCTTTTCTGCTGAAATGGAATGACTATCCAGTATGTCCAAACCCTCCACCACACTGGGGATTCCTACTTCCCCTGTGCTCTCAGTCTCATGTTAGAATGATGTACGGCTGATCGGTCTTTCAGGGAGGACCCCCAGCACATGAGCCCTCATATAGCGGTGGGGAGCCTCATAATGCCTTGCCTATATTTTCTGGCCCGCCCTTCTGTGCTTTCTCCTTTGAAGTGATTTGAATGACACTGGGCAATGCCCCATCCAGAATCAACAGAATTTCTATGAATTTAACTGTCTGAAAGCTAAGTTCTGCTTTCCTTTCCAAGATCTGTGGCCCGTCTCAGGCTGCTCTTCAATCTTCTCTGATGAGATGATGAAAAAGGTAAAAGGACTTTAAAAACCAGAAAGCATCAAATGGCAGAGGTAGAAGAAAATAAGCAGACAGTAACAGTTGAGTTACTGTCCCAAAGTTGAGCACATCCCCAGCTGAGATGCTCAAAGTCATGGCAGCTTGTTAATGGGATTGGCAGCAAAACTCTCTCTTGAAGTGCCTAACATGAACCCCACTTGGTGGCTTATTTTGTTACTTATCCTTTGAGGTATTGTAAGCCCATTTTCAACCAGGTTCTAAAGATTTGATTAGGGGCATTATCTTCTCAGACCATCTGGTTTTGGAGGAAATCAACACTTTCAAAGATGCGATGGAACAGTGTAGACACTTGGGCCACTCTAATGACAAAGTGACTTGCTCTGGATCGAATTATTTTCCGACACTGTATTAAAGTGTCCTTCCAAATTACAGTGTAGGCTGGCATGTCTCACTTTCTGTCAGCAAACTCCTCATCACAGCCTTTGATAAAAATCAGACAGAAGTCTTAGTGCTGTTAGAACTGCACATTTTATATCAACTCACTTTAGGAAACTTTATCCTAATTAGGTTAAGCCTTCTCTGTCATCTCAGTATCATCAAATTAGGAAACATGTCCCCAGGCCCAGTCTTCTGGCTCTTTGAAATATCTATAGTTGGCACTGGGTAGAAGTTGAACAAGCATTTGTTAACTGAATGAATAAATGAAAGAAGGAAGGATTTGGGTCCTCTCAATATTCTGGGTTGTCGAGTGGAAACAGAACAGGATTAGAATCAGCCAGATTAGGGTAGGAGTCCTAGTTCTACTACTTGTTGCTTGGGTTTTCTTCAAATCTCTGTCTCTCCATAGTGACAAGGGAGACAGCCCAGAGAAAGAGGCTGTATTCATTCCCTGTTGTGCTGTGATAAATTACCACCAAGTCAGTGGCTAAAAACAAATAAACCAAACCAGTAACAACTGATTCGATTACAGGGCTGGAGATCAGAAGGCTGAAATGGGTTTCAGTAGGCCAAAATCTGGGTTGTAGCAGGACTGTGTTCCTTCTGGAAGCTCTAGGGGAGAATCCATTTCCTTGTCTCTTTTAGCATCTAGAGACTTCCCATATCCCTCAGCTCCAGGTCTCTTCCTCCATTGTCAAAGCCAGCAGTGTCTCATCTTTAAATCCCCTTCTACCTCTTCCATCTTTCAGGACGCTTGTGAGTACACTGAACCCACCTAGATGAGCCTGGAGGGCCCCTCCATCTCAAGGTCCTTTCCTGAATCACATCTGCCCCAATTCCTTTTGCCATGTAAGGGAATAGGACATGGATGTTTGGGCAGGGGGTGGGGGCATAGTCCTGCCTGTGGCAGGAGCCATGCAGTCAGTGGCTGCACTGACCAGCTCTGTCCAACAGGGATGGGAAGCACCTCCGTTCCTCTCCAGGGTGTCACAGATAATGCATAAAAACAATACTCCCCGGGGAGCTCCCTCCATGAGCACAGTGGTGAGTTGTCTTCTTGAGAAGAATCTAGTTCTTTGTCCTTCCTGGGGGTGACTTGCCGGTCTTCCCACTGTGGGGTGGTGAGATGGTCTGCGCTCTCCTTAGAACTTCTTGGTTTTTGTAAGACAGTGTCAACTCCACTCCAGCTTGTTGAGTGTTCACACACATGGATATGCACTTGGCCACAATTCTTTCCTCTAAAAGTAACCTTGAACTCAGTGCTGGACATCACTACCTATCAAATCTTGGTTGGGAAAAACGCTATTGAAGGAGACCCACTCCCCTGAGAGCTGGGCAGTCTAACCACACCTTTAAACTGTCCATGGATTAAGCCAGACCACATCCTTTGGCCCCAGAATATTTGCTGTCACTAAATTTTGGTTTTCTTTGGTGCTACTAGACTACATGAGGAGCATACCATAAGAAAAAGCATCACAGAAATAGTTACATTTATTATAACCATTTTGTTGATGGATTATTCATTGCATGTCAGTATACATTTCTTATGTGAAACCACAGAGAAATATTACTCTGGTCTGAAAACCCAGGACTAGTCATGGTTTCCCTAGTAACTGGTTTATTTCCATCAAATGAACACAAGCTCACGTGGCTGATCGTTTTTCTCTCTTTGCACAACTCACTCTTAGGAAGCAAGATTCTTGAGCGAAGCTTTAGGACATCACAGCCTGCATTATATGCACTAACATCTTTAACTACCCTCATTGTCCCTTTTCCCCAGTTCCTTTGTGTGTTTCACATTTTAGTTACTATTGTCATATTGTCTGTAAGCCCAGAATAAGGCGTGGTAAGAACTTTTGCTATTTCCCAAGACTTTTTTCCTCCTTGTGAGACACAGGTCCCTGATACATTTCTCTTTGTTCCAAGAACAAACTCAAATGAAAAAAAAAATCAAAACATGAAATGAAATGTCGTCAGTGCCAATGTTTAAACACAGACTCTTGGCAGAACTGAGTTCAGCACCGCTGTAAAGTCTGGCGCTTATGTTGATAATATGAAACAAGTCTCTAATGCTTTGTATGCGAAGCACACCAAGCTCATAAATGCCAGCATTCTTAATGGCCTGCTTGCTGTCAGTAGATTCACTGGCACTGAAATCCGTTTCTTTTCTAAGGGGTGTTTAGCTTTTATTATATCTTTACTCATGGTCAAAGGACATTGGCAAATTTGCTAAAGTGATTGAAGATACTCCTCTTAAGGCATCACTAAAGTTTCATGTTTTTGCCTTCACATTTGTCTATTGGAGTTTGTCTTCTTGGAAAGGAAAACCAGAAATGTGCTTTATGCTACATAGGGAGGTGATCGCTGTAGAAAGCCAGGATGAAAAACAAACAAACAAACAAAAAAAACCTCAGTGTGAGCAGACCCTCCAGGGAAAACGTCTTCAAGAAATACCCAACCTCAGAGCTCTCCTCTGAGTTCATCAAACCACAGAATCACCAACGCCAAGAACCTCTCACGCCCTACTAGCTGGTGTATCTGGACCTTCTCTTTTCACTCTCTATCCCCATAGAGTCTGAGACGTAGTATATATTCAATATATAACTGTTGAATTAATAAGTAATACCTCTCACTCTCAAAGATTAGAGTTTTACTCCAGCCCCAGTGGACCATGATGGGGATGGAGTGCTTACCATGGGACAGGTGTGCAATTTGTACGAGTGACTGGCGCCGAGACTCATCCAAGTCACCGAAGAAATCTCTGCCGTCCCTGAACTCTAGAGCAGCAATTTTAATTTCTATTATTTCCCCCTTGTCAAAGAAACACCTTACAGATGACAGTCGCATATGCAACCGCTCTCATGGGTGTACTTCGGTTAAAGTGTAGTTCCCACTGTGCCAGTACAATCTCCATCTACCTCTGTCCCACTCAAGAAAATATATCAGAACACGAATAAGGGTGTCATTACTATGGGAACGATCATGAATTCGTGACAACTTATTGAAAAATAAATCATCCACCATTTTGGTATTTTGGGTAATAGGAGTACACGCCTTATGAGACATCTCAATGATTGACATAACAGTTCATTGTGACACCAAGACTGAGAATGCTTCTCTACAGAAACCATCTCTGAGACACACACAGTCCTAACATGCCATCTTGGAGACCTTTCCAAACTTCAGAGACTCCATCACCGTACCCCCAACGCAATCATCTGTATGAACTCTGCCATCTGTGTGAGCTTCACCAGAACCGTAGAGATCAACCCTCATGGACATAGTTCATACAAGAATCTCGCTATCACCTAGGTGTCATTCCACTTTCCCCCATGCTGACCTTGGGGAGGAGGACTTTCAAGCAGCCCACTTACCACACCACCGCCAGCTGAATGTACAAGCACAGACATCCCTTCTCGGAGGTTGGCGACTTCAAAGAGCATCATGTAGGCTGTGACGAAGTTCATGGGGAATGCAGCAGCCTCGGAGAAGCTCATGTCATCTGGGATCTTGTAGACAAATTCCACTGGTGTGCAGACCACCTCAGCCCAGGCATTGTAGTTGACAAATGCCATGACACGGTCCCCAATCTGGACATAGGGAAGCACGTGGTTACTGGAGATTTCTTAATACTCTTAAGGATCTGATAAAAATAATAGATTCCTTCCCAGGGGATTAAAAACTCCCACAAAATCCTCAAATATTCACACCACCCCCTGCCTCCCAATTTCAAGGCATCTGTGGATGCTCTGAAGCCCATCAATGTAAACTTCCCAGCAGCCATGGAAGCCAGGTTCTGTCCTCCTCTTCTTGAGCATAAATACACAACATGCATCACTTCACACGCTGTGGAATGTTATTGTCGGAAGGTCATATTACTGATTCAGCCTTCCATTGAATCTCCCTGTTTTGGAACTTGGAAGGTCAAAGGGACAGGGCTAGGAGTAAAATCTACCTCCTTTGTTTTGTACCTCCTCATATAAATTCCCTGCCACACTAGTTCACTGTGGTATTTGCCTCAAAGGTTAACACTGGATTACCAATTGCATTGGTTGTGAAATGTGGTTCACCAGAGGAGCCGTGTAAATCTAAGTGCAGGGGATTGAACAAGAGCAGCGAGGCTTAGAGTGAAATAGGAGAATGCCACCAGGCATGAGGAACAGCAGCTAACATTTACTGCACACATATTATATGGAGGCATTGTCCTAAGGGCGTCACATATTTTACCTCCTGATTAGATGAGGCATGGCTGAATACTGTGTTCTTTTTATCAGTGGTTTACGTAGCCAGACACCATGCAAAAAAAAAAAAAAAGAAAAGAGCAGTCTTCCCTTTAAAGTGGTTATAATCATATGCTAAGTTTTTTCATAGCATATCATTATTCAAAGGAAATACAAACTAAACTAATGTTAATAGCTTACATGAGCTGCCAAGTGCTAGTTAAATTGAACCACTCTGCTATTTGATGTTAGCTGCTTGTACTGTGACTTTCAAGAGCAATATTCAAATTGCTGTGATCACAGTGAAGTCTCAATACATTAATGGCTTTCATCTATGTATGTGTTGGTTTATGTATACTCTTATAATCGATTCTACTGTTTTATTTTCTTTCTAGTTTATCATTTCTCTTTTACCCACACTCAACAAATAGCAGCCAAAGCCTCCTATGAGATGGGTTCCGTAAGAGCCCCATGTTACAGATAAATGATCATAGGTTTTACAGACATTTAAACTGAGGCGAAGAGAGAGCAAAGCATATGCCCAGAGTCATGTAGCCAGAGAGTAGCTGGGCCAGGATGTGAATCTAGGTAGGCTGAGTCCAGGTACAAATGATTCATTCATTACACCCGAGATAAGTTCTATAGAGAAGACATGGAGTTATATAAGGGTGTACGACAGGGGAACCTACCAAGCCTGGGAATATTAGTCTAACTCTTTAGGTCTCAGTTTCCTCAGCTTTTACATGAGTATGGTATTAGGAACAGGTCTTTATGAAGATGAAGTGACATAACGTGCATGCAGTGCACTTGGCACGGTGCATGTAAAACGAGGAAAGAACAATCATTGCTAACTCTTAAAAAGAACAGATTGGCTCCTGACCTCGTCGAATTCACAGTTGAATGATCAAAAGCTAAAGATAGACCCACAGTATTTCATGAAGCAGAGAAATAGCTATTTAATGAAGAAACTGACGTACAGGAGAGACTGTCTCATTGGCAGTGAGTGTCCCAGTCCCTGGAAGGGTTGAAAACCAAATGATGATGTCAGGAATATCATCTCCAGTGCCATGGCTCAGACCTGAGGATCACTAAGGTCTAACGTGGGCATCTTTTTTTGCACAGAATCATGCAAACCCAAAGATGCGTGACACCACAGAGTAGCTGACGGCCTCCAGGGTCAAGAGAGTGTGAAAAAGAGTATTTCAACCACCTTGACAGTGATGGTCATGCCACCCCAGACCAGCCTGGCAGCCCAGACCACCGTGACAGTGGTGGTCATGCCATCCCATCCGGGCTGACTGCTCCAGGCCTTTCATTTCATTGTCAAAATGGCAGAAAGAGGATCAGCCGTCAAAGGAGCCCTAGTCTTAGAGTCCAGAGGTGGGAAACTTTTTTAATATTCAGTTCACCTCATAATTTGATTCCGTTAAGCAAAAGAAATTAGTCCTGGGCGACTAAGCCCAAATTATTCCTTTACTGCTGTGCCTCTGGCAACAACTGTTCAAGCCTCCCTTGCAATCGATCAAACCCAGGGAGTTATTCACTGCGCTGCCGCGTGGAATTCCATCTCCAACATGATTGAAAATCTTAAGTCAGAATTATAGAGTGCGTATTAGTATTGGTTTTCTCCTAAATCACACCCTGACTGGAAGCCTGTAGGTGGCTTCTTTTATTCGTTTGTGCAACTGAAAGTCATTGGAGGGGAATGGAGGGTGGTGAAAATGTTTAACAATAAGCAAGCTGGGGCTACTTAGCAGAAGAAAGATCATATACAGAGGAAAATATATATAATCAAGCACAGTGATTCCTCCCTCTCAACCAAGGCCGGCAACATCCCTATCTACTGTTATATCCTAAAATAATGGGTTATTTATCCAATGCTTAGGGTTAATAGAGCGAACAGTACAGTCTTTTCCTTTGGGACCTCGTGGAGGAGTGAAGAGCAGATCATCTTTTTTTATACGCAGCACTTTCAGAGAGAGAGATGCTGCTGCCTCTGGTTATATTGCTTACCTGGGGACAGAAAATGTAAAGTCGTAGGGAAGGAAAGAAAAGGCGCATTTATTTCTCCCTCCACGTTTTTCTGCTGTGTTATCTGGAAACCACCATCAAAAAGACAGATGAGTGGGATGAGATTTCCAGACGTTCAGCATCATGAATTTGGCGCATATTGATATTTTCAAAGTATATTGAGGCTCCAGTGCACTGAGACTAAGCAGTAGGTTCCAACTCAATCCCAAGGGTGTTTTGGCACTGCCTTTTATAGGATTTTTCTTCCTGTATTTAGTGTCACAACATCTGCAGGTGAGGAGCAGGGGTAAAGATCACTGGATTGTAGAAAGAGCAAAAAGTGTCTGGTGACTTGAATCTGGGTTCGACTATTGCTTCCTGCCTTCTGACCTCATGGAAAATTACTGAGCCTTTCTGAACTTCATCTCTAAGGCTATAATAACAATCTTTACCTCGCAGGGCTCTGGTGAGGCTGAAAAACTCACTTGCCTGTGCTTCTGGGTATGGTAGATTTTTGAGTGTGAGTACCCTTCATTTCTCCCCGGGGAAAGCACTTGAGTCGAGGGAGAGCTCTCATGCCTGATTACCACTGGTTTTTCTCACTGCAAACTACCACAATCTTGTGTGACCGATTTGCCCACAGTTTTTCAGTTTTTTAGTTTTTACATACAAATCTTACTTGATTTGCATGATAATGGTACGAAGGGTCATACATCTTTTCAGCAATTAAAAAACATTTTTATTGTGGGGATTTTTTTTTTTTTTGGAGGTGAGGCAAGGAATAATGACTTTACTTGGAAAGCCAGCAAACCAAGAAGATGATAGTAGACTAGTGTCCCGAAGAACCATTTTGCCTGAGTGGGAATTCAGGCTTCCTTTATACTGAAAGGGGAGGGAGTCAAGTCAAACATTTCCTGGTTCCGGTCAGCATCCTGGAGAGGATGTGTTAGTTTCTTCCTTCCAGTGGTCATTTACAGGTGGGCCTGGTCAGGATGTTTCCTGTGAGCTAATCAAAGGTATTTTAGCTTAATGCTCACTACCTGGAAAGCAGACAGGATTCCCAGAGATGGCTGTTATGGGGAATTTTTCAATATGTACAAAAGTAGTCAGAATAATATAATCACCGCTTTTATCCATTGCCCTCCTCCCCAAGCCACCAACCCATAGCCAATTCTGTCTCATTGTCAAGTACCTCTACCTTTGGCTTTAAAAGTGTTGTCCGAAAATGCCACCTTCCCAATGTATGAAGTAATGATTTATAAAAAATCACTTATATGCATCAGTTAAGTAGATATTTAAGGGAACCAAGTTGTGAAATATACAGGCTATTTCTCCTCAACTTTTGCATTTTATAATTGAATTTTGAGCCTAACGTGATGGGAAAGTAGGTGCTGTGGGTAGGGGGAGGAGGGATGCACACTTAGTTAATCCAAGACCAGATTAATAGCTGTATTAATTTTAATCTTATTAATAACAGTATAATATGAATAAAGGGAATGATAAGGTTTCCCCTGACCACTTCACCAGACTGTTGCCAGGAGCAACCAAGATGGTACATGAGAAAGGCATGAGACATTTGTCCTATCATTTATAAATGCTGTTAATAAAACCAAGTAATAAGACAATAATAATAATACATGCATAGATTATTTCAAACATTTTTTTGCATAGTCATCTGTTATATCAATGGATGCCAGATAAATATTGCTCTTTCAACCAGAAGTCAAAATATTACCTCGAATCCTTTCACGCTGTCCCCCAGGGCTTCAACAATCCCGGAACACTCAAATCCTGGCACCAGGGGAGTCTTAGGAGGGTTGTCAATATTCCCTTGTCGCACCATCAAGTCAATGAAGTTTAAACCACTGTGAACAGCAAATGTGGAAAGAGAGAAATTCAAAATGAGATCCGAAAGAAGGCGCTGACCGGCCTGACTTTCCTTTTTTTTTTTTTTCCAGTCCCATCCCCTCCTTTCCCTCTCTTCATTTCTCTCTCCCTTCTTTTTTATTTTCTGACAAAATGTGCCTAATAGTCACATCACTTAGATAGATGTCACCAATATAACAAAACAATGATCGCACGAAACAAGTAATGTTTTCCTGGCTGTTGAAATAGCAGCGGCAGAGTTCATACTCTGACTTGAAAGAAAGCCCCTCTGTCCCCTCTGAGAGCCTACTTACTCTTACTTTAAAAATATGTATCGACTAGCCTGGTCATTAACCATTCTAGCACTTAGTCGAGGGTGAAAAAACATACTAGGAAGTGGTTATAAGAAGACACATGGAAAGCAGCCAGACACAGTGGCTGTTAGCCAATCTATGAGAAAGACAGAGAAAAAAGACCTGACTTAAAAGGTCTCAAAACAGCTGTCACACCTCAGTTATCACATCAGCCTACACCAGCACTGTGCCCTAAACAGCACCCATAATGCTGACTGTGAGCCAGAAAGAGACTGCAGTAGGTCCAGCTGCAGGAGGGTGACGCAGAAAAAGAGAGGTCAAAGGAATGGACCAGTGGGTAGGGGAAGACTGGTGGATTGGTTTCAAAAGTCTTAGTTATCTATGAATGACAGAAGTTATTAGGTATATCCTATATATATATATTACTTTTGAAGTAAGAAAGTTATCATTAAAATATATCAAAGTCATTGCCTTGAAAAACTATATACTTGATGCTAGTGATGCTACCAATACTCTGAGCTGTTTTTTTTTTTAAGAGCTACAATTGGGAATTGCATTTAACACCCATTTACTAATCAACTGAGAAAAATATATCCCACTGAACATGTATTTTTTTCCCACTAGATGTGGTTCTAATATACTTCCTGTTTTCAGAGCTGCTGTCTAAGAAAGACTTGAGTTACAGAAACCAAAGTCCTCAGTCTGGCCCAAGGTCCATTAATACCTGGCTATAGTTTCTTTTCCAAGCAAGAGAATTCAGCTGTTTCTTAAGCACAGCTGGCCCATTTCTTCCATGGCCTGTTTGGAGGCAAGGAAGCATCTAACTCTACCTCCATCCCTTGGTCTCATCGGTCTTATTCATAAAGAATGGATAACAGCAAGGAGGATGACTTCCTTGAAAGGTGGGTTAAGAGTCACCCGCTTCTCAACGTATTTCTGGCCACAAAATGAGGCAAGATTCACATATCACCCCACTGAAGTGTCTCTAACATATGCCCTTCTGAAGGCAGCTGTGTGCCTCATATTTCTTTGCTTCCAGACTACCTGGCATGCATCATGCCCATAGCGACACAAGAGGTACTCAAGTAACATTCACTGAAAGAAGGAATATCCATGAATATTCAAAAATACGTGTTACCAGTTTGAGTTCTAATTCCTTTTAAAAAGCAGCCAAGGGATGCTCAGAGTAATGGACACGTTTCTGAAATGTATGTGTAGACTTCCCAAAGTCCTACTTTAATGGTTAATGGTTCTTAGGGTAATTTATTAACCAAAATGTTGTCCAATGACATGGCCAGTTTCTTAAGAGCTTGGGGAGGTCCGGGCACAAATCCCAGTTCCACTTTGCCCTGTGTAACTTTGGATCAGTTACTCAACCTCTCTAAGCTTCAGTTTCCTTATCTGTGAAATGAGGATTCTTCTGGTATCCATCTCATAGAGTTGTCAGGAAAATCAATGAGAGTTTAGCACTTAAGCCCAATGCCAGGTACACAGTAAGTATTCAGTAATAACATCTGCCTTTTCTGCAAGAAAGTAGGAAGATGAGATACATTTTAGGAATATTCCCATTGAACAAGGGTTAAAAATCATTTCAGAGCTGAAATGGGTGAACTTCAGCTATCTGTGAGCTTCACTTCTGTGAAATAGCCCATTTTCCAACAC